AGGAGCCACCACGCATAGGCATGAGAAAGCAAGCTCGGCTACACCCTCCACCCACACCAGGCTGGGCCTGACGTTGCTTTGCCTTGCTGGCTCAAGACCCCTGTTTCCTCACGCATGGTGCCAGACGTCACAACCAAGCCCGGTGCCCCGGGATGTCCTAAAAAGGGTCGGATGTGGCATCGGGCCTTTTTGCCCAGTCCTAATTCCTGAATCGGCAGGCGCGAGCAATTTCCCCAGGAGGGCATTTAGACGGGAGATTGAATGAGTAATTTACTGGGCACACTGAGACGGCACCTGATCACTTATTTATGAGCACTTCCTGACAGATCTGGCGCTCAATAATTGATGCCGTGCGGCGTTTAGCCAGGGTCACCAGTAAATAATTCACTTATTACAAACTATGGGATGTTTTATGATGCAGTGAATTACGATCCCGTGCCCGATGCGGGGCCGTAAATATCAAACCCGTGACGGGTCCTTAATAGAGAGGACTCTGCCCTGCTCGCCAGGGGCCCGGCCCCGATTCTGCCAAGGGCCAGAGCCTGTGCGTGCCTTGAAGCTGTTTTGGGTCGGAGTCTCATCTCAGGCTGGGGCAGCAGATCCAGCCCTGATCCTGGCTCATCCCCAGGCCCACGTGGGGGCTGAACAGTGGTGGTGTCTGGCCCCCAGTTGAACCCCTCAGCCCATGGGTGCTGGTCACCCAGCCCTGGCCCAGCTGCTAGGAAAAGCATCCTTGAGCAGGGCTGCTTGAGACCCGCTGCCAACAAGTGCAGGAACCTGAGGAAGAAAATTGGGATGAAAGTGAAGGAGAAAAAACACCGGAGCATTTGGCTTTCCCCTTCCCGAGGGCCTCATCTGAGGTTGGATGCCAGAGAGAAAGGGTTAAAACAAAAACTAGAGTATGAAGTTTGAAGACAACCTCCCCCTGCCAGCCCGTCCCAGCTCACTGGCTTCCATCTGTCTCGCCTGGGGTGGAACAAAACCAGCCGCCTTCCCACCCCCCAGCCATCACCAGGGGTTGCTGTTTTCCCCTCTTCCGTTTCCTCCAGAAAAACAGGGGGTGGAAATGTCATTTCTGGTGCATCCCCCAGAACAGGTGAGGCTGCAACACCCTGGAGCAGGGAGGTGCCGAGCTTTGAATGAGCTGGACGTGCCCACGTGGGCACTGCCTGCAGGGACCCCAGCCCTGGAGGGGCAATTGGGCCTGTGAGCTTCCCTGATGCCCCTGCCAGGACAAGGTCCTCCCATGCAGCCTGTGCATCTCTCCGGGCTTCTTTCCCCACCCAGGATGGGGTCCCTGCAGAGCCACGCACTGCCTCTGGGAATGCTGAGGCAGGGCAGAGGGTAGGGGGGAATGGATAAAAACAGATTTTATTATCCCCACAACTTTGCTAAAAACACCAGGAAAAGCAGAAAGGCCCTGAGGGCCTTTCTGGGGAGAAACAGGGCAGAAAAATGGGTGAGTTGGGGGAAATGAAAAGCCCCTTTGGTGAAAAAGGCCCTGTTGGGTTTGCATTCGAGTGGTGTTGTATTTTACCGTGCCAAGCCTGCCTGCAGCTCTGGGGACCTGGTCGCCCGCTGTGATCAAACAGCCCTTGGCAGCGGGTCCCTGGGGCCCCGTTCAAAGCCCACAGCCATTCCCCCTTGGGCAAGGTGCAGGCAGCCCCTGTGCCAGGCCCATGTAGCGCCCAAGCAGGGCTCAGTGGTTGCTGTGATTTCTTGCCCTGTAGGTTTTGGCTTGAGCAAGCAGCTGTGATTTCTTAGGAGCCAGCTCTTGTAAGCCACATAGTCCTTCGGTAGCAGACATGAAAGAATAAGCCCACAAAACAAAGCCCGGCTCACAGAGGAGCCTGCAGTCACAGCTTGTTTTCCCCTTTGCAAGCAAGCCCTCTCTCAGTTGCCTCCCTGGGGCTTTCAAACCCATTATCAGATGCCCCACAGCTGTATCAGATGGCCCACAGCTGGATGCCCTCAACAGGGCCAACTACCCCTGCTTAAAGGCACAGACCCTCCTGATCCTTTGCTACTGTCCAAGCTCTGTCCTTCCCAGCCCCCCCACCCCCATTTCTTTGCCCCTTTGGGTGCCTGGGGGCATCTCAGCTCTGGGTCTTGATGTGGACAATGGCCACTGTGAGCAGGAGGGTCCCGTAGACAGCGGCAATGATGTAGCCCTTCAGAGCACAGGAGCAGGCTCCACATCTGCTCTTGTCATGCCCTGGGTCCTCTCCGGGCCTGGGTGTCCCCCCGGGATCCCTGGTGGAAGTCCTGGCTCTGCTGCCCACGGGCGTTGTTGGTCCTTGTGGAGGTGGCCACGTGCTGCCAGGTGGGTCCAGCTGATGCACTGTGCCGGGGGGTGAGAAACACGACTGTGTGTTACACACAGAGCCTTGGCAGGGAGGTGTCTGGTTGCTGCTGGGGTCCAAGTTTGGGTAGCATTGGGTGGGGGGAGTGTGATGTGGGCTGCACCCCCACAAAGGGCCCAGCTGCTACCTCCGTCCTGCTGAACAAAGGGGAGGGGAGGGGAGGAAAGAGGAAGAAGGGCAGTGATGAAAGCCAGTTTGCTCCCGGCAGTGCCCTTTGGCTTCCTTCCATGTTGGGCAACACAAGAAACCACCTACGCCATGGCCCGGGGGGGCACGTGGAGGCCTTGTGGGGGTGACTGAGCTTGGCAGCCCCTGCAGGTCACTGGACTACGACTTCCATGGCTTCATCTAGGAACTTCTCCTTCTCCTTCCCACATCGCCCCACTTGCTCGGTACCTGTTTCCTCCTCTGTAGAACAGGGCAAGGGACCCCCAACCTCTCCCTGGCATGTAGATTGGGGGCCAACACTCAGGCCTGAGAAACATGGGAAGGAGCATTTCCCCCACCCTCTGCAAGATGAAGGGACTGGATCAGGGTCCTGCAGGGAAACAGTGGCAGAGCCAGGACTCAGCCCCGTGGCTCCAGCAAGTGCCATGACGTGAGATGCAGGGTCTGGCAGGACTCACCTTGGATGATCAGCTCATAGTAGAACATCTGTGGCCGGGTGGGGTTGGACTGGATGTCCACAGTGGCTCGGTAGACCCCGCTGTCCGACAGCTGCAGTGCCGTGATCTCCAGGGACAAGTTGCCACGGTGGAGGGCCAGGCGGGGCCGGAGCACGGGATCGTAGTCGGTGCGAAACTCCCTGCTCAGCGGCTTGGCCTCGGCAATGTGTGTGCCACGGCTGTCCGAGAACCAGATGATCCGTGCAATGTCTGGGGCCACGGGGCGCAGGGCAGGGAAGGACAAGGACTCCCCCGTGAAGCCCTCCAGCCGTGTCTGGCTGAGGGCAAGCTGCAGAGCTGTGGAGCATGGGGGCAGCAGCCTGTGAGGGGCTGGGGGTGGGTACAGGGCAACTGGGGCTTATACCCGCAGACCCTACAAAACAGAGAGGAGTGGGAACTTGTGCATGCGCCAGGCAGAGAACCCAGGAGTCCAGCGTGCCCAGCCCCTGCAATCAGGTTCTCTCCCACAACCCAGGAGTCCGGGGCTTGTCTGCACTGGGCTAAACTGGGGGCCTGGCTTTCAAGCTCCCCAGCCCTTGTCCAGGCACTGGGAAGCTAACCTCAATCCAAGGAGATGGTTTATTGCAGAGCACTTTCCTCAGATCTGTGCCTTCCCTGGCTCTGGCTGCTGGGCGTTTGTCAGCTCTCACCAGGTCTGGGGGTCTCATGTTCCCAGCTGGACCCCTCTAGCCTGTAGGCTTCTCTGTGCCACCCAGGCTTCAGCTCCCTAATGCCTGGCCCTGGCACCCCCCGCCCCTGCAAACCAGGCTGCCAAGCCAAGGTGACCCATTGCCCCAGAGGGAACCAGCTGCTACTTACCCCCCACAGCCAGGAGCAGCAGACACAGCCACATCCCTCCAGCTTCCCCTGGCTGGGCACGTCTGTGCTGTGGGGAGCCAGCCCTGGCTCTGGGTGGGGGGACCAAGCAGCTGCCTAATAGGCGCGAGAAGTGCAGGGGAAGCTGCGGTTGGCTGGATGCTGCCAGCGTGATGCTGGTCTCTGTTCCTCTTTTTCCACCAAGGATCAATATCTTTCAGCAAGGAGCAGAGAGGAAATTTGCTCGGGGCTGGTGGCAGTGGAGGGAGGGCTGCGGCTGCTGGAGGTGGCAATGGGGGCTGGTTCTGGGGGCATCGCTTGGTTGGCGGCATGTAGGAGAGTGCCAGGGGTGTCTAATGGACCGGGCTTGCTTGCAGCAATGTGGATTAGGGGATAGAGCAAGGCTGGACGGTCGCAAGCTGGCAGAGGGTAGATTTAGGCTAGATATCAGGAGGCGCTACTTCACGGTCAGGGCGGCTAGGATCTGGAACCAACTTCCAAGTGAAGTGGTGCTGGCTCCTGCCCTGGAGGTCTTTAAGAGGAGGTTAGATGAACACCTTGCTGGGGTCGTTTGACCCCAGTACTCTTTCCGGCCATGGCAGGGGGTCGGACTAGATGATCTGCTCAGGTCCCTTCTGACCCTAGAAACTATGAAACTATGGACTCCTGGGGCAGCTCTCACCAGGGTTGTTTTCACCCTGATTCTTTCAGGGATAACCCTGATTGCCCCAGGGTGGATATACGTGTCATATATCCACTGTGTGTCTGCACGGGTGCAGCGGGCAGTTGCCCGCAGTGAGCATCTCTAGGAAAAGGAGCAAAGGGGCAGGAGTTATGACTCCTCTTGAGGGTCACCCCATGAGCAGGGCAGGCTGTGATGCCTGTTCCCAGAGCTGCCTGGGCCCTTTGCCTTATCATGGATGGGAGCAGGCCTGGGGGGAGATCACTGGAGGGAGTTGCACCAGGGTGCAGCAGCAGACCCCATGCAGACCCCTTGCTGCACTGGGGCAGGGGGCAGGACAGCAACGAACCCAGTCCTGGAAGCAAACCCGTTCCAGTGAAACCAGTCACAGCCTGGTAGCGGCCGGCGGCAAAACTGGTTGAGTGCTGCCATCTGCTGGGCTGAGCTCTTGAAGCTGGGAGGGATTTTGTCTTTTGAAACCTTCTTGGGGCAAAATGGGCAACTCTGGCTCCAGCCAAACCTGCTGCCCATGTGCTTTGGCTCTTACTTTGTTTCACCCCTCCCACCTGGTTTGTTTCAGTTTTCAGGCAGTTTGCAGGGGGGGGGGAAATATTATGATTTCCTTCGAATAGTGGATCTGTTTTCATCACATCCCTGCCTTTCCTTGGCTGCCCTCAACCCATTGCAAAAATCCAAGCAACCTATCAACAACTTTGGCCTCTCTGGCTCTTCTGGCAACACTGTTTGCTTAGGACTTTTCCTCCCATTTATCTCAAGCCCAATTTAAACCCCCCTCCCAGAAAAGCAAGAACATGCTGGAGGCAGTGCCCATGGGCCTGTCGCCCTTGGCAAACACCCGGATGCATCTGACAGAGCTGCTCAAATGCCACCCCTGGTTTATTGAGAGAGTTGTAGGCATGAGGAGATGCAAAGCTGGTGTTAAGGGAGCTCTGGGTGAGGTCCTGTATCTATGCAAGGGAAAGGGCAGGGTTACCCCCATGTAGGGTAGCGGGAGAGGACAGGGTCATGGGTTTTATACAGAGGAAGAAGTTGGGCAATGCATTTTGAGTCTGGGTCAGGGGTCTGCACCCCTGTGGGTGTAACTGGGTTAAGCCCCAATGGGATAGAGGGGAGGCTCCCATGGGAGGTGGGAGCTGGGGTCTTGTGAACCCAGCATTCATTCCTGCCTGTGGCAGGGGTCAGGCTAGATGATCTGTTCAGGTCCCTCCTGACCTTAGCTACTATGAAACTATGGACACAGAGGCTTCCCAAAGCAGCAGCAGCCCTGCAGGACAGAGGCGCATTCAGCCAAGATGATGCCAGGACGAGACATGAGCTGAACCAAGCAGCAGCTGGGCTGGGACCTTCCTCCCGGTCCATCCATCCATCCCTCCTGGTGCAGCTCCCTCCTGGTGTTTGTAGTGGGGCACAGTCATTGCAGGGCCACCACCATTGCCAGGGCAAAGGCCTTCAGCAGGCAGGAGAGCATCGTGCTGGACATGAAGTGGGCTGGAGCAAAGGAAGAGGAATCGGTGAGCTCAGCCTGGAGGCCCCCAGCCCCAGCATCCCTCTCTGGGGGCTCTCCTGGTGCCCCAGGGTGATGTAAGTGTGGGGGGCAGGCGCGGGCGGCACTCCAAGGGAACCCCTGTGTATCTGTACATGTATCATTGGCACGTGTCCACTCTGTGCCTCATTACCCTGCGATAGCGCTGTGCTCAAGGCCAACCAGCTCCCTCACCACCTGACCACCTCCCTTGGCACCTGGGAGCACTCTCTTGGGGAAACTGAGGCATAGAGCCACAAAGGGCCAGTGCTTTCAGTGCATTTAGGTGCCTGCTTCCTCCGGCCCAGTGCACAATTACCTGTTGCCTCTACGCTGCTGCGGCAGAACTGGTAGGGTTTGATGCTGAGGGAGCTGGAGTTGCTGGTGTCCTGTGCCATGCAACTGTAGGATAGGCTTTTGTCCGAGGGGCCCAGGTAGAGGGAGAGTTTGGGACCCTGGGTGGAGGGATTTCCATTCACGTTTTCACGTTTCCAACTGTAGGTAATGTTGCGGTCCTGGCTTCGTGCCACATGGCAGGTCAGCTCCAAGCTGCAGCTCCCGTTGGGCCAGGCGACTATATTGCTTATGATGTCTGCAGGGAAAGGGAAAAGGGGGTGGGGGAGAACCAGGCCAGTGACCCCCAAGCAGACCTGGGGGACCCTTCTGGCATGGAAGTGGGCCCACCGCCTATTGCAAACCCCCTCTCCCCCCAAATCTGCAATGCCCCAAGGGCTCCTGTGTTCTGGGTTGGGGCTGTGCCATGGATGTGCCTGACTCTCCTCGTCTCTGCCCCTGCTG